ATCTAAATACCATTCCAGAATTGGTGTCACAAGTGCACGAGCTTCTAGAATAATACAAAAAAAAGTCTGAATAAAATAAAGATGTCTGGAAACAAACACACAGCTAAAGTAAAGTAGATGGGGACTTCAGAACTGCGGACGTCGTGCAGTTACACCTCAAGTCTCCTCTGGGTAGCTGAAATCCGAGCAAGTCTATGGTACGCCGGTGGGACCAGCTCCAAAATCTGCACAAGAAGTGCAGAGTGTAGTATCAGTACAACCGACCCCATGTACTGGTAAGTGCTGAGCCTAACTTCGACAAAGTAGTGATGAGGCTAAGGCGGGGCACTTACATTAACCTGACACAACGTTAGTAACAACAACAAATAATAGAAATAAATCAGGTAACACATTTATAATAATTGAAGCCAACTCAGAAATCATAACCAATTATCATTTCCATCAATTTTCGTTGCAGCGTGCAACCCGCTCTCACAATATATTCATATTCAATTTTGTTGCGCCGTGCAACCCGATCCTCCAATATATTCATTTCAATCAATTCTGTTACGGCGTGCAACCCGATCCTCCAATATATATATATCGACTTTTAAATAAGTTTGTTGCGGCGTACAACCCGATTCTCCAATATGGACTTTTAATAAGTCTGTTGCGGCGTGCAACCCGATCCTCCAATATGGACTTTTAATAAGTCTGTTGCGGCGTGCAACTCGATCCTCCAATATATTCATTCCAATAAATTCTGTTACGGCGTGCAACCCGATCCTCCAATAAATTAATTTACCAATTCTTATAGAAGAAATTACTCCAATGAATGCAACAATTAATATAAAGTTTTTAAGACAACAAGCATACAATAATTATAATTTAATTATGAAACAAACAATGACAAATAGCAATTTATTAATAAAATCAGGGAGAAAATAGGCAGTTTAATGCTAAATATGTTAAATGCCAAGTAGCAATTAATACACGTAAATCAAATAGTATGTAACAATTATTGCAGGAATTCAAGAATTAATATTTGTCAAAGAATAGGAAAGAAACAATTATTATAACGATTAATTCATGATTTAAAATAATTTATGATTTTTCAAGTAAATATACAAACAATTAATTTGACGACGTATAGACACTCGTCACCTCGCCTATACGTCGTTCACATGCATTTCACATGACAAATAGTTTAAGGGTTCTATTCCCTCAAGTCAAGGTTAACCACGACACTTACCTCGCTTTGCAAATTCAAATAATTTATTCGACCACAACTTTTTCTTTTGAATTTATCTCCAAAAGCGTCAAATTTATTCACAAACAATTCGATATACTCAATACGAATCATAGGAATTAATTCCACATGAATTTACTAATTTTTCGGATAAAAATCTGAAATTCATTTAAATATTTGATAGAGGGACCCACGTCTCAAATCTTAAAAAAACTTATGAAATCCGAACACTCGTTCCGATACGAGTTCAACCATATAAAAATTACCAAATTTCGATGTCAAATGGACCCTCAAATCTTAAATTTTTGTTTTTGGAAGATTTTATAAAAATCTGATTTTTCTCCCAAACTTTCACGGATTCATGATATAAATGAGTATGGAACCATGAAATATAATCAATATAGGATAAGGAATACTTACCTCAATATTTTTCCGTGAAAGTCGCCCAAGAATCGCCTTACCCGAGCTCAAAAATAAAAAATGATTAAAAATGGGACGAATCACATTTTCCAAAACTTAAGTTGTGTTTTTTCGATTTTTACCCTTTGCGAACGCGGTCAGTGCCTCGCGTTCGCGAAGCACATTTTTGTGCTGCCAAAACTTTTCTCTTCGCGAACGTGAAGGCAATCTCGCGAACGTGAAGCCTTGCCAAATTTGGCCTTCGCGAATGCGATACACCCTACGCGAACGCGAAGCTTTATCGCTTGGTGCCCGACCAAGCCTCGCCTTCTACGCGAACGCGAACGCTTTCACGCGTTCGCGATGAATACTGCCCTCTTCCCTTCGCGAACGCGGTGCCCTCTTCGTGAACGCGAAGAGCAATTTTCACCTACCTCAAGTTCCTCTTCGCGAACACGATTCCTCTATCGCGAACGCGAAGAAGGATACCAGACAGTGCATCAGAAAATTTTCCAGCAGAGTTCCAAGTCCAAAATTCAACCCGTTAACTATCCAAAACTCACCCGAGCCCTCGGGGTTTCAAACCAAGCATGCACACAAGTCCAAAAACCTCATACGAATTTGCTCGCGCGATCAAATGGCCAAAATAATACCTAGAACTATGAATTGAACTCCAAATTGAATGTAATTTTCAAGAAAACTTTAAAATTTATATTTTCACAATCGGATGACCGAATCACGTCAAATCAACTCCGTTTCTCACCAAATTTGGCAGACAAGTCATAAATATTATAGTGGACCTATACCAGGCATCAGAACCAAAATACAGACCCGGTGTCAATAAATCCAACATCAGTAAATTCTTAAAAATCATTAGCTTTCAAACTTTTAATTTTTTATCAAAATTTCATATCTCGGGCTAGGGACCTTGGAATTCGATTTCGGGTATACGCCCAAGTTCTAAATCACAATATGGACCTACCAAAATTTTCAAAACACTGATCCGAGTCCGTTTGCTAAAAACGTTGACCAAAGTCAACTCAGTTGAGTTTTAAAGTTCTATTTCACATTTTAATCCATTTTTCACATAAAAACTTTCCAGAAAATTATACGGACTGCGCACGTAAGTCAAAGGATGATAAATAGTTCTTTTCGAGGTTTTAGAACACAGAATTATTTATTAAATTTAAAGATGACATTTTGGGTCATCACATATGGCAAGTTGTAATATTTGGGCACTTGATGTACAATTTATGATATGTTGTAAGATTTGAGAACTTGATGTGCAATTTGTGATATGTTGTAAGATTTGAGCACTTGATGTGCAATTTGTGATATGTTGTAAGATTTGAGCACTTGATGTGCAATTTATGATATGTTGTAATATTTGGGCACTTGAGATACAAGTTGTATTATGTTGTGATATTTGGGCACGTGAGGTGCGATTTGTGAAATATTGTGATGTTGAAACGCATGCGGTGAGATAAGGGTGGCTTGAAACACGTGTCTAGTAGGGAAACTACTAGAAGTCATGCGGTGATATAAGGTCAGGGTGTTGAAACGCATGCGGTGAGATACGAGTGGCTTGAAACGCGTGGCTAGTAGGGGAACTACTAGAAATCATGCGGTGTGATAAGGGTAGCTAAAATGCGGGATGCTATTTCGAAAAAAATAATTTCGTTAAAATTAAATGTGAAGGCTCCCACGGTGATATAAGAAAATGAGATATTGTGAATTTATTTATGATTTGGGACTACGAGGCGGTACCTCGGGAGTGCCCTGTTGATATTTCTTTATTTATGTTCTTGTCTTGGGTGATTTTGTTTCATTTAATATGTAAATTCTTGTTTTCTTCCGTGATGTACTAGTTGACTTTATTATTATGTGTTTTGTGCTCCTGGTTATATTGTGTTGGCTTTGGCTTTTTAGCACGTGAATCTGATGAAGTATATTTCTGGTTTTTCTTACTGATTTTCGATGATTGAGTTGATTTAAATAAAAGGAATTATTATATTTTAAATTAAATAATTTTACATCCAAATTAGTAGTTAACTGCCGCTTTAATTTAAGTGTAAATGTTATTTTCTTCACCCAAATAATTTCTAAAATAAATTCATTTCTTTGTTGATTTCTTACTTGATTTAAAAATTATAAACTTACTTTATTAAAAATAAATTGATCATGCGGATCTTTTATACATTTATTATTGACACGTGAGTTGTCCGTGTGGTTGTGATAGAAATATGGGCACGAGGTGACGTGGAAAATATGAAAGTGGGCTGAGATCCGTAATTTATTTTAAGATTATGAAATGAGGTATCACATGGTGACTTCTTAATTGAAAGAATTATATTTAAAATATTTATTTAGAAGGATTTTTACTTAGAAAGTATTATATAAAAGAATTATATTTGAAAGATATTTATTTGAGCAAATTATATTTAAAAAGATTTATTGAAAGAATTATATTTGAAAGATATTTATTTGAGCAAATTATATTTAAAAAGATTTATTGAAAGAATTATATTTGAAAGATAATTAATTGAGAAAATTATATTTGAAAGAGAGTTATTTGAAAGAATTATATGTGAAAGACATTTATTTGATGATCTTGATTTAATTGGGTGTACTTGTATTTATTATTTGTTGATCGATATTAATGATATTCTTGTTATCTTGTTATGCATAACACTGGTTGTTTTATGTTGACCTTATTGTTATTTGTGTCCTATTATTTTGTATATTATATTGCACATGTTATTATACTAGTGAGTGTCTTGACTGTACCTCGTCTCTACTCTACTGAGGTTAGTCTTGATACTTACTGGGTACCGACCGTGGTGTACTTATACTACACTTCTGCATATTTTTGTGTAGAGCCAGGTATTGGAGATATCGGACTTGAGCAGAGTTAAAGCGAGATCGTAGGGATTCAAGGTAGAGCTGTTTGGTCGTCGCAGTCCCTTGGAGTCTTTTCATTTCATTGTACTGTTAAATTTTAATCAAAGAGTATTGTATATTCGGTCCTCGTGATCATTCCACGTATTCAGTTAGAGTTTATGACTCAGTACTACCAGTCTTGGGAGGTTGTACATTCATATTTGTTCCGCTGTTAGTTTTGATTACATATTTAATTAAAAAAAATGGCTTCAAAATGTACTTGAAATCGCCTGTGGTGGGATTTTGGATCGTGACAAGCTCAGAATTTCTTTTTTGTTTTGTTACCTTTTAGTTTTTTTTTTAATTCTTTTTATTCAATTATCATAAGTCCAGACATAATTTTGAGCAAGTTCATCACTGCATACCTTTTAGTTGGACTCTCACTATTTGGTATTTTTTGTGCACAGATTGGTCAGGATTTGGAAGAAGATCCAAGGTTAAAAGCTATGACGAAAGAGTGGTTTGAAGGCAAAGGATTGTCTTGATATTGGCTGTAATAGTGGAGTGATCACAATTGCCATTGGTAAAAGTTTCTTAATTGCATATATGTTTCTGAATTGGGATTTCTCCTTAATGTTTAGTCGCATGTGGGGTTTTTGCTTGATATCTCTGCTAACATTGTCCACCAATAGAGGTTACACATTTCCCTTTTCTTTTGTCTGTTGTTAATATGAGTTATCCTTTTTTGACTACAGCACAAAAGTTTAGCTGCCGAAGCATCCTTGGAATTGACATTGATGGTGGTAAGTATTTGAACTTTTCATTTGGTCTACACATTTGGTTCACATATAGTTGATTATGGCAGGAAGAAATCACGAACTAATTAAGATGCCAACAAATTGTCATGCAATTTGTGAACTGCACAAATGTTACTTTCATGGATCAGTCTTTATTAGAGACTAGCTGAACGGGAATTTGTTAGTATTTGATTTTGGACCCACATAGTACATTTTGTTGATTTTTCCAGTGCAATTGGATGGACCAAACAATTGTTTTGTGCAGTGATAGTAATGTGCGGTTGGTCGGATTGTTGTGTCACACTGTCGCTCTTTAATTTATTTTCCTTCTTATTATTGTATAAATTTGGCCTCGAGATCTCTTTTGCGACTTATTGCCCTAGTTGCCGATAATATCATATTCTAATTATCCATATAGGCATCTTAAGTAATGTGTGATCTGATGGATTTAGCATTTGACTTTGAGCTGCTAGGATGTAGTTTATAACTTTTATTCTCTCTTTTCACCTCTTCCAGCAAGAGTTAATGATGCCTATTGAACTCTCAGGAGAAAAGTGAAGAGTATTAGAACAGTGCCTGCAGGGGGTGACAAATTAGAAGAATCAAATACTGTAAATTGTTTAAAAGACCCTGCAGTAGAGTCACTTAATAAAAGGGCAAAGAATGATTGTACAACACCTCATCATTTGCAAGAGGGAGATTTTTTTGACAGTCTCCTCATCTGCATCCAAAAACAATACATCTTATGATACAATTATTTGGTAAGTTTTCTTTTTCTTTAACGTCATCTTCCCTGTATGGTTCAAGAGATGTGAAATCTTTTAGTCAATTGCAATCCTTCTGTGAAAAGGTGCCCAAGATGTTATATTGTTGGAACTTGTGTTTCCTTTTCAAAATCACCCAAAATTTTATTCTAAAGGTGCACTTCTTTTGGGGTAGAGGCAAATTATGTAAGTAGAACAAGATGATAAAAGAACAATGGAAAAGCTTAAAGAGTTTATTAGCTGGAGAATGTTCTGTTTCGTTACCCTACATCCAACTTTGACCAGTCCTAGGTGAGTATGATTTGGGTGGATTCTGTTTTCCTTGTTTTCCTTTAGCTCTAGTCCTATCTGACACCACAAAGACACGGTTAAAAGAGGGGAACAAAGAAACTTTTATGGACTCTCATGCTTATGAATATCATTTTTATTTTGAGAAAGGAAATATTTATATTCATCAGCACTCAAAATAGGGCTGCTCTATAATATTTACTAGTACAGAACCTCTGTGAGATTTACAGCGAGTCAAAAAAGTCTAGTCCTGATTCTGCATCACCTACCAATTGTTCTTTAAACCAAAAATGAAAAAGAGAAATGCATGAATCTTGATTTTCAAGTATGTTTACCGGAAAAATCGGATAACGTTAGATTTGTGTATGATTTTAAGGATATCCGATACAATTCGATATAAATCGCGTAGAGAAATGAAAATATGTGTATTGTTGGCTGTGAGAATGAAAATAATAAACAAAAAAAAAATGAATAAGTAAAAAACATAAGGGGATAACTATCAATATAAGAAGTGATCTTCCTTCCTCCCCTCTTTTCTTCCTTTTTTTTTGGCTTACAAGGATTTCCCCTTTTATAGAAGAGGGTTATTATAAAAAATAATAAAAAATATAGTGGAAGGCCCATGATGACTTGTCTCTTCTTTGATTCCCGCCAAGATTCTCTCTCTTGGTGCGGTTGCAACGGCTCTTGTCTGTGAGCTCGATACTAGCTTGAACTCGTTACTGGGTCGGGCCCTTCGGTTTCGGATTGAGTTCGACCTTCGAGATGGACGCCGCGTATTTCCGACCTCGAAGCAGTGCCTTGCGGATCGATTCGGTCACGGGCTCGATAGGATTATCGAGCCGCCTCCTCGAGTGACCTTCGGGCTCGAGGTTTGTTAGTACCGGCCTCAAAGCTCACTCCCAAAACCTCATTCTGGCTTTTTAACACTCGAACTCGATCGAACGTAGGAAGGCCGAAATCTATTTCGACCGTATACAGATAGTCCCCTCGTTTCTCAAAAAAGGATATGGCGAGAAACGATATGATTTCCTAGTAGCTCGATCAGATATACACTGATGTTTTTATCGATCCCGACCATGACGTATGTAATGCTCGATCATCTTATGCGTCTTTACAGTCCCCGACTTTATCGAGGATACCCGAATTTTTTCTTCCCCTGTGGAAATTGTCAGTTACCTTCGGTCCTTGGTGACCGGAGAAAATCAATCAGTGATGAATGCGATGGGGCCGCCTGTCTTTTCAACGAGGCCCAACATGCTTTGAATCGGGTAACTTCTGATGGCGTTTTCGCCGCCTCTGTACAAAAAATTTGTAAATACAAATCTTTCTTCTTTTCGAAGAGAAATGGCCTTTCAAACTAAATAGATAGTTAGAATTTGAATCTCGGTTGCCTTCGGGCCTCGTGGGTAGTCCCCTTTGCTTTATCGGGCTCGAGCGTCCTTCAGCTTAAATAGTCAAGTGTTTGTTTTAACTCGAAGAAATGAGTAGTTTTGCTCGAAATAATGTAGCCCGTAGGCGTAATAGTCGAGCGAGTGATTGTTCGAACTCGAAATAAAGGTAGCCCGTAGGCTTGGCAGTTGAATGAATGATTCGAACTTGATGCAATGTAGCCCATAGGCATAATAGTCGAAGTAGCCCATAGGCTTAATGGTCGAGTGAGTGATTATTCAAACTCGAAATAAAGGTAGCCCGTAGGCTTGGCAGTCGAGCGAATGATTCGAAGTCGATGCAATGTAGCCCGTAGGCGTAATAGTCGAGCGAGTGATTGTTCGAACTCGAAATAAAGGTAGCCCGTAGGCTTGGCAGTCGAGCGAATGATTCGAAGTCGATGCAATGTAGCCCGTAGCCGTAATAGTCAAAGTAGCCCGTAGGCTTGGCAGTTGGGTGAATGATTCGAACTCGATGCGATGTAGCCCGTAGGCATAATAGTTGAAGTAGCCCGTGGGCTTAATGGTCGAGTGAGTGATTGCTCGAACTCGAAATAAAGGTAGCCCGTAGGCTTTGGCAGTCGAGCGAATGATTCGAACTCGATGCAATGTAACCCGTAGGCGTAATAGTCAAAGTAGCCCGTAAGCTTAATGGTCGAGTGAGTGATTGCTCGAACTCGAAATAAAGGTAGCCCGTAGGCTTTGGCAGTCGAGCGAATGATTCGAACTCGATGCAATGTAACCCGTAGGCGTAATAGTCAAAGTAGCCCGTAAGCTTAATGGTCGAGTGAGTGATTGCTCGAACTCGAAATAAAGGTAGCCCGTAGGCTTTGGCAGTCGAGCGAATGATTCGAACTCGATGCAATGTAACCCGTAGGCGTAATAGTCAAAGTAGCCCGTAAGCTTAATGGTCGAGTGAGTGATTGCTCGAACTCGAAATAAAGGTAGCCCGTAGGCTTGGCGGTCGAGCGAATGATTCAAACTCGATCTTGTTTGCATAATAAATCTTGAACATAAGATATCGGTAAAGAAGAGAGCTTTCTTTGCAAGTCATTATACATGAGTTCATGTTTTGCGTCAAGGCTCGGGCCAACTGTATAAGCATGGTTCGTTTTGACCATTTGGCCCTTACGACATTTCCCGTTGAGACACTGTTTGTTATGAAATAACGAAGTAACTTCCTTTGCACCGAACTTGATAATCATCACAGATGCGTTCAATGATAAAGCCCCCTGTGTACGAGGTTGATTTTAAAGAGGCCTCGGATACTCAGCAGTAGTATCGTTTCCGCTATATGGCTGGTATCGATTTCTGGTCGACTTTTGCTTTTTCGTAATAGACCTAGAAGTCAACTGGTTATCTTCGACTCTTATTTTGGATTGATATCGATTGTGCATATCGGTCCAAGTAATAGCTAGGTACTCAATTATATTTTGCTTCAGCCGCCGTGAAGCCCTCGAGCTTCGCTTTTTTAGACCTTGAGTGAAATCTTGAACAACCCAATCGTCTATGACTGGTGGCAGATCCATTCGTTCCGTTTGAAAACGAGCTACGAACTCCCTTAGCATCTCGTTATCCTTTTGTATTACCTTGAACAGGTCTGACTTTCTGGTTTTGACCTTTATGGCTCCGGCATGTGCTTTTATGAAGCAGTCTGCAAGCATAGCAAAAGAATCAATGGAGTTAGATGGTAAATTATGATACCATATCATTGCCCTCTTTGACAGGGTTTCACCGAATTTTTTCAATAATACAGATTCGATCTCATCATCTTCCAAATCATTGCCCTTGATGGTACACGTGTAAGAAGTGACGTGCTCGTTGGGGTCGGTCGTTCCGTTATATTTGGGTATTTCGGGTAGACGGAATTTTTTGGGGATTGGTTTTGGGGCTATACTCGAGGGAAAAGGTTTTTGAATGAATTTTTTCGAATCTAGACTTTTTATCATTGGTGGAGCTCCCGGGATTTGGTCGACCCTGGAATTATATGTCTCTATTTTTTTATCGTTGGCTTCGACTCGTTTTGTGAGTTCCTCGAGCAATTTAGTAATTTCGGGAGTAGTCCCCAATTCTTGCTCATTTGACTTCTCTATGGCTGGTTCCGTTCTGTGGGCTACTTCTCGAACCGGATTGGGCTCCGGCCTGCTTTGTTCCTGAGATTGGCTCTGCAACTGAGCTATCGCTATTTGTTGGGCTTGTAACATCTCGAAGATCATCCGTAAGCTGACTCCGATCTCCTCCACGTTATGGATGTCTCGAGCTACGGATCGAGTACCGCCCTGAATGCTTCTTTCTGGTTCGAAACACTGATTCGCCCCTAGAGCTATTTGTGAATTAACATCCAATGGTACTTCGGCTCGAATTTCGGGTGCTTCGATTCGAGCCTTAGTACCATCATCAAGTGGCCTTCTGGCCCCGGGTGCTAAGTTGTTGGTTTCATCTTGAAGGCAGGCTTCGAGGTCGATAGGTAGAGCCATTGCTAATTTAAAGTTGTAAGCTGGAGTGTACTGTAGATTTATATCAAACAATCACTGTTACCCTTAGCCCCACGGTGGGCGCCAAACTGTTTATCGAAAAAATCGGATAATGTTATATTTGTGTATGGTTCTAAGGATATGCGATACAATTCGATATAAATCGCGTAGAGAAATGGAAATATGTGTATTGTTGGCTGTGAGAATGAAAATAATAAGCAAAAAAGAATGAATAAGTAAAAAACATAAGGGGATAACTATCAATATAAGAAGTGATCTTCCTTCCTCCCCTCTTTTCCTCCTTTTTTTTGGCTTACAAGGATTCTCCCTTTTATAGAAGAGGGTTATTATAAAAAATAATAAAACATACAGTGGAAGGCCCATGATGACTTGTCTCTTCTTTGATTCCCGCCAAGATTCTCTCTCTTGGTGCGGTGGCAACGGCTCTTGTCTGTGAGCTCGATACTAGCTCGAACTCGTTACTGGGTCGGGCCTTTCGGTCTCGGATTGAGTTCGACCTTCGAGATGGACGTCGTGTATTTCCGACCTCGAAGCAGTGCCTTGCGGATCGATTCGGTCACGGGCTCGATAGGATTATCGAGCCGCCTCCTCGAGTGACCTTCGGGCTCGAGGTTCGTTAGTACCGACCTCAGAGCTCACTCCCAAAACCTCATTCCGGCTTTTTAACACTCGAACTCGATCGAACGTAGAAAGGCCGAAATCTATTTTGACCGTATACAAAGTACTCTTGCCTTCAAAACATTTTGCATTCATCTCTTTCCAAACTGTCCACCATATGCAAGCTGGAGCAATCTTCCACCGTTCCTTGTTACAGGTTCTTCCCCTAATACTGTTCCAACTGCATATCAAGCCAATGGCCTCCTTGGGCATCATCCAAACAATACCAGCTAGTGTTATAAAGAGCTGCCAAAGTTGTCTAGTAATAACACAATTTAA